AGAGGAAATATCGAATAAATGATTTAAATAATAGAATAACATTTGGTTTTGATTACCCAGGATAGCTACACCAGTATTAATACTGCTCTTCCTGTAGGCCTGTGATTACTATTACCCCTGCATTGCTAGTGGCCTATTTAATACACCTCGGTCGAGAGCCCCCCCCCACTCAGTGTTGCGTGAAAAGTATCCCTCTACCGGAGATTTTGGGAACACGAATGCGGTCCCTCTGACCCCGAATTAGGGGGGGGGGGGGTTGAGAGGGGCCTTGTCCAATGATGTAAACACCAAGCAGGGATCGAACCTGAGACCTCTCATATGAAAGCGAAGAGCTTCTACCAATGTACCACAGTGCTTCCACTGAAAAATAATCTGTGAGCGTTTTCGTTGTTATTATGCAAGAGTGGAAGAACATTAGAGCAAGAATGTTCCCTGAAAAGCATGGCTCTTCAAATGCCTTCATATTCTAAATATGACATGTTACAGCTTAGAAATGTTGGCCTCTTTTTTGTCACATATTTGTGAGTCCCGTATTTATTTTTCTGTGTACAGTGCTTGTAACTTTTACCAAGACTGGGCCAAATTTCTTATCATTTTCATGATACCAGAACCTTGCAGTACACGCCAATACGTATATGCTACATGCTCAACTTTGTTTCTGATCAATTCGACAACGCTTCTTTCACAATGCAATCGCATGACCAGAACTCAACTTTATCTTTAAGTGGTTTGAAGCTTTTATTAGATTTCTTGGTGGTATACATGAGAATATTCCGTTATATTCCTTCGCCTTGCTTCATTTTGTATTCATTTTCTATCTACCATACAATTAATAGGAAATATATATCCAAAATACTATAAAATAATCATAAACTGAAAAGATATGATACATTTCGAAAGACGTACTCCCGAATTTTAGATTTTCTGCATTATACCTAATTAGTTTATTTAACACCTGTTATTAGTTCTTATTCTCGTTTTCTATAGCTCACAAGTAAAAAAACATCCATCTCTTTCTCTCTATCTCTCCCTCTCTCTGTATATCTCTTTTCCTTTCCCTCTCTCCATTTCTCTTTCACTAAATATTATTTTCCTCGCTCATCTACATTAACTCTCACCCCATGAAACAATGATTAATATCAATGATAATAATCTAAAATACCATCTGACTAGGGGCCTACTAACTCAGTTGATTAAGCAATCGATATTCAAAACCACGTTATGAAAATTAATCATATCACTAAGAATAATTTGAAAAGACATAAACAACCTACGTTTTAAACCACTCTCTTGGCCACGAAAGGAGCCTCGAACAAGTAACAGGTTGACTTAATTGTGTCCTGCCCGAGATCAGGCATTCAAGAAACGGGTCATTTGCGGCTTAAAATGATCTTTTTGCATTTGCGGATTATAAAGGGGCCTTGTCCGAATTCCCGTCCCCATTAACCCTGCGGTTCCATGCCTAAACGCCTTCCACGTTCATAAATACATGTAATAAAAAATCACAGTTATGGTTCCCATTTTCCTTCAAACCAGCCATCCGCAGAGAGAACGCGAGACCTAAAATAATATATACTATGCCTACAGGCAAATAGATACCCGCTCTTTCTCGCCCTCTCTTCTCACAACCACTCTCTTCTATGTGTGTCCCCACATCTCGCCTTCTCTCTCCCTCCCTGCCTCACAAATGCGATATTTTTGCCGACCTGCCGTTATGAAATCGTGAAAAATTAAATAGCAATTGTGCTATTTAGTTTAGGATTAGCCGCAGAAGTGCGTCCTCCAGAAGAGAAACTTTCTCCCCCCCTCAAGCGTCTCAACACCAATCGACTTGATGCACTCCGTTTTCCCCTCTCCCCTCTTCTCCTAGCTCTCGACTCAGCGAATTGATACACAGATATCTAGGACGAGATACCCTTGAATTGGCGCATTAACAAGGCTAAATGCGTTTCTATTGTGTTAAAGTAATTTGGTCGAAAATCGTATCTATTTCCCCTCTCTCGTTCCTTTTTTCTCCCTTCCACGTCAGTCCTCTTTTCCCGCTGGTTTGTTCGCTTTATTACTCGGTCTTAGCTTTTGCTTGACCATTTGTTCACTTTAACCTACATACGTCTTTACCCATTACCCGTATTTCTTGATAATTCTTTTATTTAATAATAGGATCAACCCATTTTGATGTGTTGCCAATTAAGCTAAGTGAGTGTAGTTTTTTCTTCTCACTTAAAACGTTCCGTCGGCAAACGTTCGAAGTAACAACAAACTTACAGAGACAAATTGATACAAGATCTGCGACACGAACAAAGGGGATGGGGGTACGATACCAGCTTTGGGGCTCAAAGTAATGCACGTCTGGTAAACGAATTATTAGTGAAAATGTAGCCAAGTTTGAAGTGTTCCAAATTAAACAAATTGATGGAATAATAGTTATAATGTTTCGGAAAGGATAGCTTAAAGTCGTCGGTATCGCCATAAAAGAAGCTGAGTAAGAACGTGTAACAGATGTCAGAGCGTTAGGAAACACCATGCACATTAATCCTGGTTATACCAAAATATGGCGAACTCAAGTGATATATATTTCTTTTTCTGAAAGAGTAAACTCTGTCGAAGAGTAACCAGTCTATATCTTTTTGCTACATATAAAAGTCAGAATTCGTAATCTTATTTTGCTTTAAATATAACTTCGGCACAAATGGAAGCGCCATTTCAGTCGTTGTCACTCCTACATTGACGCTGAACCCAAATCATTTAAAAAATGCCCTAGAGCTTATTCTTTCTTTGAAATTGAAGACGATCTTTTTTAATATTGATTTGATTGGTAGTTAATCATTAGGATCTCTTGCGTGCAAATAGTTATCATAATTCCATATCTGTATTCTGAAAATATGTAGAAAATATCATTCATTTCAATTATATTGTAGCTTTCTACCTTGGAAAACGAGTCATACAAAGCGAGAGTTCTAAATATGCCCTTATGGCCAATTTTACTACGAAATGATTTTTAAATCTTGCCTTTGTTTTTTGCGTCATGTATTGTTAGTACTATATAAATGTATTCTTGAGATCGGCAAGACCACAGAATTGCGAGTGTATGTGATTTTCTTTTGTTTTTCTTTGTTTTCATTCAGTTAAAAATAACTAGATGCTCTTCAGTTATTCAAAAGCTTGAATTCACATCTGTTATTTTTGAAAGATTATTTTATATATATCAGAACTGACAAAATCTATATTAACTTGTCTCAATTAGCGTCATAATGAACGACAACTACAGCAAAGGATGACACACCGTCAGAAAAAGAGAGAAAAAACTAAACAACAGAATTTTAATCTCTGTTCCTTTAGATTTAAAACAATCTGTTGCCATTATATGGTCTGATGGGTATTCCACCTGTTGAGCAAGTCGTGATTTAATCCAAATGGACGGAGTGTCGATTCGGCCTCAAATTAGAGCGAGTCGATCGATGATTCTTTTCATTTTGTTTTGCCTTGGATCTGTCGCGCAGCGCCGTGCGAAATCGACAGTGGGCGATGCTGCCCAATCTCCTTTGTTCTCCAACATCTTATGTCTTAATTCAAGTCAAGAAATCTGGAATCGAGAAAGCCCACGTCGGGGGTATACCTCCAACAATAATTCAATGAATTTAAGACCTCGTTCCAGTCATAATGTTTGCATTAAAAGACCCTCGTTTCGTGATAGACAGAGAGTTTTTTTTCTAAGCCCAAGTTGTGCCGAGTTTTTGTGGTCTATTGTGTGTGAGGGCAGCGTCTTTGGTGCGCCGTTAGGGGCTCGTCATCTCGACACCCCCCCGGTCCGCCCCAGACCCACGGGATGGCTACCCCTACCTTTGATTCCACAGTGTTTTCTGATCATCTCGCCAGGTGGGAGCCATGCCAGATTTCCATAATTTTATTTGGTTTTGCTGTGAGCTGGGCACGAGTACAGGGCTCGTGGCGTCGCTCCGTGTGCCTCATCTGTGCGTTATGATTCAGCCCACGTAGGGCAGACGAGCTTCTGCTTGCCAACCTACATCAAACTCTTCCCAAAATCTTGGTGTTTCAATTTATGCTTGATGAAGAATGAATTGGAAGAGAACAAAAGAGGCGTCCTATTCGTCCTCGTCGATCTGCCCGCTTGGCTAGCTAGTCGGTTTCGCTTGGTCGCCAAATCTGAACCGACAATAAGCTAAGCACCAGGTTTCACCCTCCCCCACGAGCCGTGCACCAACCCGAGAGCTGTCGTGACGCGTCACCGCTACCGTAGCGCGAGCAAAAACCCAAAAGGCAGAAAGTCTCTGGGTCCACATGTGCGACTTTTTTGGGTGTTTTGTGGTATTGTTTGGGCCACCAGCCGGGCGGCCGCTTCCTCGCGGCATTAGAGTGTGGAGCGACCAAAACAGGCCTCGGTTCTGATGCCGTTATCTGCAAACAGCGTCTGGTAGAACAGCCCACTCAGTCCACCACTAACTGGTGGGCTAATGCCGCCGACGCGCGAGCGACACACGCCCCCCAAAACATTTATAGTTTTGTTATTTATTTATATTAATTGAGCTATTAGAACAAGCAGTGGCAGGCAGACGATAATTCATCATGTTCTCTGCCTCACTATTGAAATCAGAGCACACGATCGACTTTTGTCCAGGGCAGGCGTCCAGCTAGAAGCGCACCGTTGGCCGCCAGCAGCAGCTGCGGCCTAGTCGTCAAGTGCAAGGCGAGTAGTCAGAGAGCTCGGTAAAGAAGGTCTGCTAGTTGATATGCCACATAATCATCATCGGAGACACTTATTATATTCAATTGGGGGAAAACAGGGTTCTTTGTTTGACGCTGCACCGTAGTTTTGGGCTTATTACGCGCATATTTGCCTCTCATTACGCGGTGGCGCGAGTGAATGGCTCAAAAAGGCACAGGTTTTAGTGAAAGCTAGATATATAAACAAGTGTTGGACGCAGACAGAATCACAACTGAGCTCGATTCACCTGGCTTTTGCAGGTCTCTCCCCAGCTGCCATGGATAGACGAATTGCCTCCCCCGATTACATCAGTCAGGAGATGCTGCGTAACGCTCTCTACGGCAAGTGGTGTGACCTGAGTGGCCGAAGTTTGCCTGCTGACAACAACACCAAAGCTCGTCAGCTCCTCGAAAAGAAGAAAGGTAAGTCGACAATTTTCGTCACATTTCCACAAATCTAGCCATTAGTTTTTAATTGCATTTTTAATTGACTCCAAAAATCGTGCTCGGTAAAATGAAGAATTTTATCCTCGCAAAATGTTTTAAAAATTGAATTGAAAAAGTTATTTCCATTTCGTAAGGTATGAATGAACTTGAACTTTCAGAATTTAATTTCAATCAGTATTTTAAGTACATAAATTGATCGAAATGTATTGACGAATGAGTATGTGGACATATATCAACGAAGACAGGAAGAGAGGGTATATATAAGTCAAGTGTGGTTTAATCTAATATTCAATTCAGCGAGAAAGTGTCGATTAAAATGAAAACATACACAAGAAATGTATTCCACCTGTTGCCTCGTCTACAAAATATTTTTCGCCGTGCCGAATTTTCGTCGTCCTGTGTTGTTTCGAGACTCGTCACCGATTCATAGAGACAATATTTGTCACTTTATCCAGCTTATGTATGTCTCTCTTATTTGACTCTAGAGTCTATTTTGCATGTTTTATACTCTCTCGCATGTCTCCTTGTATAATCGTGTACTGAATAAGAATTTTTTAAAAAAGAGGATTTTTTGCAAAA